AGTTCAACCCATAACAGACCACATGGGTCGTTTGGCTAAGGAGCAAAGGACCCTCAGTCTTTCCCCAGAAGCAAACCTGAGACAGGGATTGAAGCATAAGTGCAGGAAACAGTGGCGGGAGAGGGAAGGTGAGGTTGGGAAGGGCAAACAGCCAGTCAAGAATCCTTTATGAAGTCAGGTCCCTGGAGCTCAGTCTCGAGAGGAAACTGTGGGAATAGAATACACTGAGGTGTTTATCTCCCAAGAACCCTAGTGCTCTGACTTGGAACCATCTGTCACCCTCTGGCCCTCTGAGTAGCTCCCGGCTGAAGGCAGCTCCCCACCCTTCCTGGCAGCCTGGAGGACCCAGAGGGATCAGCAGGAAGGCAGGGTCTCTGTGCAGGGGTAGACAGAGGGAGGGAGGAGAAGCCAGAAGGGAGAGGGTGCACGCAATCCCCCCAGGACATCAAGCCTGTGCTTGGGGCAACAACAAAGATTGTTTGTCAAAAACTGACACCAAAGCAGAGAGCTTGAGAGTGTGGGCTGTGCAGCCACGCAGGCTGCGTCCTCCTGGATGTGCGACCTCACGCCAGGTCCTTGACCACACTGAGCTTCAGGAGATCCTGGTGTCAATTTCACAGGGGTGTTTTGAGAACGGAGATCCTGCACACAAAACTCTCAGTGTTTGCCACGCAGTAAGCACTCAATAAACATTTTGAAGAGAATGTATGAATGAGTAAAGGTGGAAAATACAAATAAGTAACAATACAATATTACAGCCAGGAAATGGTTGTAATACTAATTAGATGTATAACCTTCCATAGTTTTCCTCTCTTTCCAGAAGTGATCCCCAAATGTCTCCCAGTGGATTCCCAGACTGCTGGTCTCCCAGTGCAGTTTCTCCACCACGAAGTCTACACCTGATTAACACCGTGATGACCAGGCAAAGCTGAGTGAGGGCCCAGGTGGACGTGGGCTTGCTCTGCCCCGTGCCTGCTCTAGTATGTGCTCTCCATGTATCTGTTTAGTACATTGATGGAGGTGGAGAGGTTTGGGGGGTGGAGTGGGAGCCCCAGATGTGCCACTCTCCAAGGTCCTGCGCAATGGCTTAGGAGTCAAGGCCAGTCCCCAGGGTTTTACTCTCCACATCATTCACTTCCACATGGGACACTGCAGTGAAAGGCAATCGCCCCAGTCGACTGCCACTTAAACAAGAGATGTTCTGCTGACAGCTAAAGTGACACCGGGAAATTATACGCTTTTGCAAATTGAGACCTGGTGCAAGGCTTGGTCTACACAAGCCTCAACCATCACACC